CAGTAACTCCGTAGCGCAGGGAATAAACTTCCATGATCCACTTCCTCTTTCCCCCTCCCATTCACGCCCAAGCAGCAAATACTGCAATACCTGCAACTGAACACACGCAAGTGACTATGCTGGCAGACGCCTCATGTCTGAGCTGCTTTCTATTATTTAGTCAAGTTGGACAAATGCTGCCTTTCTGATCATAAGCTTGCAATTCCCTGACATTTTGTACAAACCTGTTAAACAGCCTTAAGACAAAACTGAAGCATTTTAAGGATTTACTTACTATATATACATAAGAGGACCACTTAGATTTTAAAGTTTTGGTGGCTTTGGGCTTGCTTTGTACTACAAGCAACTTCCTACAATCTGAAGCATGCAGATTGCCAGGATTCCCTTCCACTTAATGAACACCTCTGATGGATGTGCCTTGCTGAGAGGTCCCAGTGGAACCAGCCACAGCACTGAGCAGCTTTTTAGATTCAGGAGACACACAACCCCCCCCCCGCAGGCTAACTGCTTGTGCCTCATATTTCAAATGAAAAAGCTGAATCTGAACAACAGCTAGGCTTTTTTACTTCGAGTTTTGTTGTTCATCTAAGTTACAACAGAGTAGATTTAAGATTTTAAAGTACTCTTAAAAGAATGCTTTTTTTCCACAGTTAATGACTGTGGTGTATATAGCTTTCAAACAGAGATGGTGTAGGAGAATGCTTTTCCCCAAAAAGCTACCTTTTTACTTATGTGGAGATCCTGAGTGGGAGAACTGCTTTAACAGAACCATGGGAGAAGGCCTCTTTACCACTAACTACTCTCCAGAAACAACAAAAAGAACACTTATCTGATAGATTAGCTTCGATTAAGGTTATTTCCTAAAACAGCTTTCTCTTATAGTTCATTCATCCAAAGGTATCTTATGGTCAAGAGGCAGAGATTAAAAGGAATATGCTAGTACAGACTTAATAAAATAGCCTGCAGCAAAGCCAGAAACAACCTAGTGTAACCTCACCCAGGCTCCTGAACAGCAACTGCTTTTTCTACGCATGTCCACAGCATCTAAGGTTTTTCCTTTAGCAAAATTCATCTAACAAGGAAAAAACACTGTCCTTGGAGTCACAGCCCATTTCTCTCCAGTTTCTCCTGCTCTGGAAGAAATTACATCTTTTCTGTCTTGTTGAGAACAAGATAGAACATTCTACAAAGAGAAAACTGAAATTCTTACCAGCACTGCTACAACACCCCCAGAAAACAGTGCATACATGGGAAGTGTCTCTTTAAGGGGGTAGATAACACCTGCAGAAGGATTTGGGATTGTGCTATAACCTTACTCTGCTCTGACTACCCCACCTCCTGAGGGAGGAGGAGAATCAATGATAAAGTTTGTGAAAGATCAAATTAATACATACAGAAGGAAATTGAGAGGATGGTTTAACACTTCTGTACCTGTAAGATGAGTCAGAAATCATTACAGTACAGAGTTCAGTTCTTGCTGGAAGTGCTGACTTGCTGCAAGTCATGATTTGACAGACTTAGTGTGGTAACCACCACCCATTTTACCACCTGAAATATTAGTCGGCACAATGCTCCAGGACATACATTTTAGGGCAAACAAAAGCTGTCAAGTACTATGAGACTTATACACAGGCATGCAATTGCTTTCTTTGAAGTAAGAGTTAGCTCCTCAGGCTCTTTAGGGTTTAGCACAATGAATTCCCAGATGAAGAACTTGAAGATAAAAGCTTACATATTTAAACACAGCAATTAATGCAGAGAACAGAACAGTAAAATAAAATGGAACAGAAGAAAATAAAATGCTCTGAAAAGTGACTAACAAAACATGTGCTTGTTATATGCAAGCATCCATAACAAACAATTTTCAATGTTTTTCTTTACACTGTCAGATTTACATATTGTTTGGCCTGAAAAAAAAACAACCACACCTTTGAGGTCTGGTTCTTTCATTAAAACTTCCTCTGCAAAGAGCAATCCCTGCAAACTGAATGAGCTCCCAATAACATCTTTCAACTACTTAAGGAAAATACTTACAATATTAATTATGCTAATGCAAAAATAATGAAGAGGTAAAATACATTCATCTCGCATGCCTTAAAGTACTGATTCTTCAGGGGTAAAAGATAAAAAAGTAGAAGCATTCTGTCACTAGCATTGGGAATTAAGCACAAGTAGACTAGAAAAGTAAAAACCCGAGTCCTCTGTTTTCAGCACAGGAAATGACTATAATGGGAGTATCTTTAATCCAAGATGCCATTTCACCATCTTACATCCTTATCATTGTTAGCTGAATGCAGCCACTACCCTGCTGAAAATGCTGAAGTAGGAGTCTTTATTCACAATGACAGTGGACATTTTGCATTACTCCAGTTGCCTCTGAGTACAAATCCACTGAGGGTCATAGAGTACAGCTCAAGTTAGTTGCATCCTATCATTCTCTCAGGCATATTCCACACAGTTAAATGAGCAATGTAACAAGAACATCTCTGCTTAAGTGAGCAAGCAAAGGGGGCAGATAATAACAAATAATGCCCGATCTGACACTTTCTACAGCAGCCATGCCTTCAGGAACCTCTTCTGTTTTCCTGAAGTTTGAATACATTATTCAAAGCCAATAAGCTAGTAAAGCTTTCAAAAATGAGTGGTCCTGTAAGTGCATTGACAGTTTTGTGGTACTATCTCAGCATTTCTTCATGACAGTACAAGCAGCTACCTCCCTATTCTCTCTCTTGCTTAGTCAGTGTTGGCCTCCCCATTGCTTCCTGTACTCTTATTGCCACCCAGTCCCATTTAGACAAATGTCAAGAGAGACTTAAAGGCTATCCAGTCCAGGTAACTACCGCTTCCACTAGAGTGGGAAAGGGCTCATTAATAGATCAGATTTCCAATGACAATTCCGTCAAATTTCTGACCAATCAGATGTGCCAATAAATAGAACACATTTTAAAAGGAGCAAGACTTCAGGCCACAGTTTCCAGATTGCTCAGGAAGCCAGAACCTGAAAAAACAGAACTAAATCCCATGTTCTTCCTTGGCCAGTGTAATACAAGAAGAAAAATGGGAGGGAGAGAACTATAAGAAGGAGGAAAGTTCAGTAAGAATGTAAGTACATCTTCAGACAGATCTTTATTTGAGTTCCGCTGGAATATAAAAATTGTATTTAAAATCTCAATTGATTGTTTTCCTCATTAAATCACTTTGCAAGCCATACAGGACTCAAACTACCAATTAGCTGGCTAATTTACATCTTACCTGTGTTTGAGGAAATTACCTGTGCTTCAGCACACTAAAACAGGTACTGATAGACACTTGCAGACTACTGCTACATGACTACATTCAATACTGAGCTACTTACATTTGCATACAGCATATTATTACTGAACACATAACAGAGCCAAGGTCAAAATAACCATGAAGCTCACCTGAACATTCAGCTAAAAATACAGTAAATCCAGTGATATTCCCATTCTAGGATAAGCTATACCTTGCACTATTTGCCACAGCACATTTGGAGAAAATCTCAATGAAGGTAGCAGAACAGCCTTCTCCTTTAGGAGAAAAACTCTGGTCAAAGCCAAAATTCCTTCAGAACAGTTTTAGAAATTAAAATGCATTTATTGTGCCTTCATATTTCCTACTTTACTAACCTCCTCCTCCTAACAATTCTTCTGCCTTTCTTACCCTTTTACTGCTTTACTTGATTCCTTTTGAAGCGTAAAACATTGTTCAGGAGTTCTACCCACATACAGTGACCTGAACTCAAACTGAACAAGAGGAACAACTTCTTCTCACCTTTTGCTTAAAAAAATCACGTGACAAAAAGTAACAGTGATATTCAGAGAATTTTCAGTGTTGATTGTATTCACTTGACCAGAGCAGTCATCTTCATAGAACCAGATATATGTGGTTAATTCAGTAATTTTCAAACAACACAAAAAAGAACATTACCTCTGGAGATCAAGCTGGTTTATCATGATAAACCACATCCTTCCCTTACTGCAGTATTTTCAAAGAATAGACACCTATATTAAGTACCTTACTGGGAAACATACCAATGCAACCTGCATCGGGACTCTCTGTAGTCTTTAAAAGGTACAAATGCGCTTAAGCATTCTCATTCAAGTTTTACACTAAAAAACATTACATAATTTATAGGTACTCCGCCAAACAAAAATGCCTTCAGCTAGACAGAAAAAAAAGGTAATACTGTATAAAATCAACTTAACCCAGATAATATAAATGCATTTAAGGCTCTTGTTAAAATCACATAAAGCTATTGTTTCATGTTAACAGAATAGGATAACCACACATATTCCAGTTTTCTGTGCTCCTTAAGACAGCTATGTGCACTCATTTATCATGGGTCTTGTTTCTCTTGAATAATTATTTGTCTCTTAAACATGCAAAGGCATTTAACTTGGTACACAATTTCCATCGAACACATTTTCACATTCTACTGTAGCTCAACTGCAACTATTTGTGGAAGTGGATACTAATTAGCAAATAATGGAGACAGGCATTTGGGAAGGCACACCCTTCATGATCAGCATTAGTTACTGTTTACAACAGCAGATCTTAACTATTTCAGCGTAAAATACCCTAAGAAATCACACAGCAAATAATGATTTGATGTTAACAGTCATGAAGTGTCAATTCAGAATTCAGAATTATCACTGAGACTGAAGTTATATCATTTTATTTTAGGATTTCTGTAGCAAACTGCCCTAATTCAGAAAAATAACCATTTAACAAAGTTTACTCAAGCATGTTTAAGCCTCCCAGAAATTCATCATATAACTCTGTTGAGAAAAGTATTACTTGAGTAAAAATTATAGACTCCACTTGAATTAAAGTCACACATAATATGCATGCCACTATTTTTAATTTTGATTGAAACATTAAGACAGTTACCCTTGCTTACCAAAGAGCCAATACATGCTGTTTTTATTTTTGGAAGAGCTTATCCTCCTGCATACAGATGAAAAGCAAAAGATACTTACATGGACAAGTTAGGAGATGGAACCCTACTATCATCAGCTAGGTTCCCAAGGTGGCTCAGCGTTGAAGTCGAACTGTTCTCTATAAAGCACTTCTCCTAAACCCTCTGGATAGTTGTAAACTTGATCAGAGATTTTGCCCTGTGGGAGAAAATACATAAAAAATAAATTTCCAAGCCAGAACAAAATAAAAGTTTTATCTTACAACATGTAACAAATGTATTTTCAGGAGTGCTTTTAAGGAGGCTTGCAACATCCCACCATGAAAGTTTATCATCAAAATGCTCAGTTTTCAAGAGTTGAATGTGAACTCTGAGTCAGATCAAGTCAGACATATTTTCATTCCATCCCAACACTCCCAGTCAGTTGCCAGCACCTATAATGAATGATCGGAGCAATGCAGAGATATTCCAGCTGCTCCAGCCAATGAGCCGGCTTCATTTGGAGCTCAGCTCAGATGCCTCTATACAAATGCCCGTAGCATGGGGAACAAACAAGAGGAATTAGAGAAGTGTGCTCGTCTATGGGGTATGATATAACAGGCATCACAGAAACATGGTGGGATGGCTCCTATGACTTGAGTGTTGGAATGGAAGGTTACAGATTCTTTAGAAAAGACAGGCCTGGCAGGCGCGGAAGGGGAGTTGCCCTTTATGTTAGGGACAGGCTGGAGAGTATGAAACTCTGTCTGGGTACAGGTGAGCAGTTAACAGAGAGCTTGTGGGTCAGGGTTAAAAGGAAAACAGCGATGGGAGACATTACTGTGGGGATCTGTTACAGACTGCCTAATCAAGAGGAACCTGCGGATGAAGCACTCTGTAGGCAGATAGGAAAAGCCTCACGCTCACAGGCCCTCGTTCTCATGGGTGACTTCAACCACCCTGACATCTCTTGGAATGACGGTACGGCCCGGCACAAGCAATCCAGGAGGTTCCTCGATTGTGTGGAAGACAACTTCCTTCTGCAAGTAATAGAGGAACTGAAAAGGAGAGTCGCCATGCTTGACCTTGTGCTCACCAACAGGGAAGGGCTCGTTGGAAATGTGGCACTCCAGGGCAGCCTTGGATGCAGCGACCACGAGATGGCTGAATTTGAGATCCTTAGGACAGTGAGAAGAGCGTGCAGCAAGCTCACTACCCTGAACTTCAAGAGAGCAGACTTTGGCCTCTTCAGGAACCTGCTTAGTAAGGTTCCATGGGATATAGCTCTAGAGGACAAGGGGGGTAAGACTCTTGGTTGGTCTTCAAGGATCACCTGCTACAAGCTCAGGAGTATTGCATCCCAACTACAAGGAAGTGCACAGGAGGGCCAGGAGACCTCCTTGGATGGATAAGGAGCTCCTGAGGAAAATTCAAACGAAAAAAGTCTTATGGAAACTGGAAGCAAGGACAGGCGGCCTGGGAAGAGTACAGGGTTATTGTCCAGGAAGCTAGGGACCAGGTTAGGAAAGCTAAGGCCCAGTTAGAATTAAACTTGGCTAGGGATATTAAGGATAACAGGAAGGGATTCTACAGGTACACTGCAAATAAAAAACAGATTAGGGAGAACGTAGGCCCCCTCAGGAAGCTCTCGGGTGAACTAGCTACACAGGATTTGGAGAAGGCTGAGGTTCTGAATGACTTCTTTGCCTCGGTCTTCTGTAGCAAAGGCTCTGACCGCACCACCCAAGGCTTGGAAGACAGTTGCAGGGACTGTGAGAATGAAGATCCTGGGCCCACTGTAGGAGAGGAATTGGTTTGAGACCATCTTAAAAATCTGAACGTGCACAAGTCCATGGGTCCTGATAAAATCCATCCGTGGGTCCTGAAGGAGCTGGCAAATGAAGTTGCTAAGCCGCTGGCCATCATATTTGAAAAATCATGGCAGTCAGGTGAAGTTCCCGACGTCTGGAAAAAGGGGACTATAACCCCCATTTTCAAGAAGGGGAAAATGGATGACACGGGCAATTACAGACCAGTCAGTCTCACCTCTGTGCCTCGCAAAATCTTGGAGTAGATTCTCCTGGAAGGCATGCTAAGGCACATGAAAATCAACAAGGTGCTTGGTGACAGCAAGCATAGATTCACTAAGGGGAAATCCTGCCTGACCAATGTGGTGGCCTTCTATGATGGGGCTACAGAACTGATGGACAGCGGTAAAGCAGTTGATGTCATCTACCTGGACTTGTGTAAAGCGTTCAACACTGTCCCACACAACATCCATGTCTCTAAATTGGAGAGACATCAATTTGATGAATGGACCACTTGGTGGATAAAGAACTGGCTGGATGGCTGCACACAAAGAGTTGTGGTCAATGGCTGAATGTCCGGCTGGAGACAGGTAACGAGTGGTGTCCCTCAGGGATCAGTGTTGGGACCGGTCTTGTTCAATGCCTTTGTTGGTGACATGGACAGTGGGATTGAGCACGCCCTCAGCAAGTTTGCCGATGACACCAAGCTGTGTGGTTCGGTTGATACACTGGAGGGAAGGAATGCCATCCAGAGGGAACTTGACTCGCTTGTGAGGTGGGCTGATGCCAACCTTATGAAGTTTAACCATGCCAAGTGCAAGTTCCTACACCTGGGTCGGAGCAATCCCAGGCACAGCTACAGGTTGGGCAGAGAAGAGATTCAGAGCAGCCCTGCGGAGAAGGACTTGGGGGTGTTGGTTGATGAGAAAATGAACATGAGCCAGCAGCGTGCACTTGCAGCCCAGAAAGCCAACCGTATGCTGGGCTGCATCAAAAGGAGCGTGACCAGCAGGTCCAAGGAGGTGATCCTGCCCCTCTCCTCTGCTCTCGTGAGAACTCACTTGCAGTATTGTGTGCAGTTCTGATGTCCTCAACATAAAAAGGACATGGGACTGTTGGAACAAGTCCAGAGGAGGGCCATGAGGATGATCAGGGGACTGGAGCACCTCCCATACGAAGACAGGCTGAGAAAGTTGGGGCTGTTCAGCCTGCAGAAGAGAAGGCTGCGTGGAGACCTCATAGCAGCTTTCCAGTATCTGAAGGGGGCCTACAGGGATGCTGGGGATGGACTCTTCACTAGGGACTGTAGTGGTAGGACAAGGGGTAATGGGTTAAAACTTAAACAGGGGAAGTTTAGATTGGATATAAGGAGGAAGTTTTTTCCTGTTAGGGTGGTGAGGCACTGGAATGGGTTGCGAATGCTCCATCCCTGGCAGTGTTCAAGGCCAGGTTGGATGAGGCCTTGGGTGATATGGTTTAGTGTGAGGTGTCCCTGCCCATGGCAGGGGGGTTGGAATTTGATGATCTTAAGTTCCTTTCCAACCTAACTACTCTATGATTCTGTATGAAGAATTGCTAAAACACATGAATAATACACATGGAAGTGCTTGTTTGTACTTTCCTTTCGAAGTCTGAATTGGAAGATTTTCTAAGAGCTGTACATGAACCTGCTTTAGGGTAATATGCTTTAATACTGGACTACCCTCCCAGAAACGTTTTTAACCCTGTAACCACTGTGTTTCTTTCCCTCCCCACTTCCTTTCTATTTTAGAATTCCCTTGCCATGTTCTTTCTTCCTCTGCTGTGAATGAACACACCATGTGGGTGGAAAAGCTATGTGGGTGAAAAATACTGCTTTATATAGTGAAACTGAACACCATACAGACAAATCCAGATTCAAGCAAGACAGTGAAAAGAAGGAAACTTATGCTTGCCTTCAGGAATGAGGAAACATTTCAGCTGGCCCTTAAGGGCTATTACACACAACACCAAAGCAGCATTTTAAAGTACAAAGCTAGTTTGCTCAAATGAAGGCAAAACCTTCAGTACATTGTACTGTACTCAGAACAGCACAATGAACATAAAGAGCAGTCAAGAAAACATTAACCAGCCCTGTTGAGTAGTTATTCCTTCTAAAAGGAACTGACATTTTCATGGAATTAAATACAGTACAGAACTGGTCATGTGTAAACCCACCATACAACAAAGTTTCTACAAAACCACTGTGGTCTATGGCATGAAATGTGGAATGTACCAACTATTGTAGAAATAAATTTTTGCTGCTCTTGCTATTTAAGTGAGACGTGTCATCTACAAAAAATGGCTTCTGGGAATCACCTAACCCAAATGATTATCTTTTCAACTGCATTACAGTTAAACAAGCTGCTGAAGTCTGTTTTTCCACTTGCTCTTGCTATTAGAAAACTATATGAGTGTACTCTGTAAAATACTGAATTGCAGGTTGAATGCAATTCCACAGAGCAGTCTCTTCAGCTTTACCATATAAATTGGAAAGCATTTGGAAGCATATAACATTAAACCTCAAATTAATTTAGATATTAAGGAATTTTGCCGGCTAGAATTAGTGTAGAACAATGTTTTATCTTCCATTAAAGCAGTAAGTCAGTAACATTTAGCTCTCAGAGCATGCACACATTTAAAGTCAGCAAAATTTCCCTTTTGTAAAATTAACTAGTAGCTCCACTATTTTCTAGTGCTAGCCTGATTCTATGCAAGAACTCATGCAAATTTTCCACTGACTGTGGATTAAGTTTACCTTCACAACAAAACGAGTTGTTAAAAACAGGTGCTTCTAGGGAGAGTGCATGACCTTTACTAAGAAAACTTAAAAAGTCATGCTTCGGACAAATATCACCTGCAGTACTATTCCAGTAAATATTCTCGTATGTCCCAAGAAGGAAGTGTGCAGTGAAAGTTCCTGAAATCTGATCATTTTCTGCAGCAACTGTCAACTATGAGCTGTGCCAAGCTCTAGTTGCCCTTCAGAATTTCTTTTAAACAAGAACTATTTATCTGAAGGAGCTACATAAATGTATAGTAAATTGTCTGACTGCCTTCTTTCATGTAGATTTGCCAATATTAAATATTCAGAGAGGAAAACTGTACGATTTGTACCTTTCCAATCACAGTAATTTTACTCAGCTTTATAACCAGCACAAAGAGTTGGTCTGCTGTACTGCAACAGAGCAGGACTACCATTTTAAGCAGAAGTGTGTTAGAAGTTCATAACCTATACAGACAAACCCAGTCTGAGAAAAATAGCTTATGTGAGTGGCCACAATGAAGTGTTCATTGCTTAAGGGCCTTGAAGTAGTTATAAAAGCATTCTTGCTAAACAGTGAGCTTTGAGTTGCCGGAATAATTGACAAGGCAGCTTTGCCTTTTAATACTCAAGCGACACCTATATGCATGTATTTATGTATCATCTATTAGTATACTCTACTAGCAGGTGCCTCAAGTTTGACAGCAGCTCAACCAGACATGCTGTACTTCGTACACGAATAGTAACAGTCTCCTGAGGAAGAAAATAACCCCTCAGTCACCCACAGCACATAGTTTTGCTGGACCAACTGCATCCTGCAGCAAGCCCTAAGACCGCCAGTCAGGGCCAGGCTCACTCAGCTCCCCATGTCTGATGCAGACAGACCTGCAAAACTGGGCACTGATTCATTTCCTTTGAGAAACTAAACCACTGTATCTTTCTCTTTCTGAGGAAACACTTTAGTGACCAGAGATTGAAATATTCACGAACCAAACCCTAAAAATCTAGCAATATTATGACCTTGCACATTTACACCAACTGACAGACTTGGAGGCACCAAAGTTAATTTCAGTGCTCAAAAATTCCAGCTATTCTTCTGTTACGATAGGCCTTTTCCAAATAGTGGCCAGGGCGTTATGGCAAGGGGGTCACCAAGGGAAAGCAGGTCCTGAAGGAAGCACAGGTCCCTGAGGAATTCTATCAACACCACAATCGTCCCTGTGCTACATCAACAGTATTTCGAACTGAAATATGCCATTATACCCAAACTAGTCCATTACACAATTAAGCCTCCCGTTCAGGAAGGGGCAGTCTTAATTCCTTCCCAGAGCATTCTGTCTTCCCTATAATTGGAGGAATGGAATCATTTTCAGACCATACAGCACAGCATTGCTGCAAACACACCTGCACCAGCCTTCCAGCACAGAGAGGCACAAGTCGCCTGCCTGGGGGGCAGGCTGCAGTGCTGAAAGGTGGTAAGCCCACCTCTTGCCTACATAAGACTGCCCCCATGGGAGAAACCCCATTGGTGCTTGCCACCAACCACCACCATCCCCCTCCCAAAGTCCTGTCAAGGCCCCTCTTTTTCTGGGATTTAACAAGCTTCCCTCTGAACTGAATGCCCTGCGGGGGGGATAGGGGCAGCAGGACAGCCTACAGCAGGCAGGGCAGGAGCTCACCACAGCCTGAAGCACACGGGGAGGGGGCTGCCATGTCGCAAGCATCAGCCACGGCGGCAGCAGCATTGTTCACACGGTGACAGGAAGGAAAGAACTAGACTGGACCAGTCCAGACTGGAACAAACCCCTCCTACCATCACCATTATTCACAACCCCCCACCTCCCCCCCAGCACTGCTACCTCACGCATTTACCCAGGGAAGAATAGCGGGCAAGTGCAGCGTCCTCAGAGCCAACAATCCCACAGTCAGGGTGAGGGCAGAAGTGGGGCAGCATTCCCACCCCAACCCACCGCCATGCTGGAGCTATGCATCTGGCTGGGAGGGCTGGCAGGTCTAACTCGCTTTACTGGACACCGGTCTTCAGGGGGGGCTACATTCCACTGGGACTACTCGATCAAATCCCGTTCAGCCACAGGAGACTGCTGCAGAGGTCTGAAACACAGTGCTTCTCCTGCCTGCCTACTGCACGTGTTGGCTGTGCAGGATTTTGCACTGCAGGAGATGCACTTCAAAAAGGCTCAAAAGATGATTTAAATGCACTTTCTGCCCTCATTACCACAAGCCAGGTTCCCCCAGGGCAGACACACATTCCTGAGCTCTGGATGAGTCCATACTGCTGACTGGAAAAGACCTGCAGTGCTGTTTGTAAGGAGTCATTACGGCATCCTCATGGGCCATGCCAGCCACGTTCCTGCTTTTGCACTATGCCCCTTACACATGCATGAGTCCCCTGCTCCCACTTCCAGCTCTCTTACAACCAGTAAACGGGCACTTCCACTGACTTCTTACCAAGGAGGGAACAACACCGCAGCAAGCACTCACATATGCTCAGGATACCCTGACATCCAAGTGCACATGTTTTACACACACAGAGCCAGCAACTGAGCAGCAACTGGACCTTTTTCTCCATACTTTCCGAGAGCCACCAGTACAGCAGTGACTGACTGGACCACAAGGGCTGATGGAGGCAGCCAAGCCAAAGAGGTTGAGGCTTAACAAAGAGACTTCCAGAAGGACTGGCAGCACCAAACCTGCTGCTCCTATACCAACACATTGACCAAGCAGAGGGAAACATGTCCTTGAGATGACCAGCAAAGGGGGGGGGGGGGGTACTTCTAACAGGAGGGAAGGATTCCACTTCCCATAGGCTGGAGGACCCCTGGCCCCATTGCATGAAGGCAATTTGCCCCGTCATCCCAGCACTCGTCCCGGAAAGCGTCACTTGTGCAATGCCCTCACCGCTTGTGTAGTGCCTTGACAGCTCACGCTGCTGTCCTGATCCACGGTGTACTCCCCTATCCACCGTGCCGAGGGGAACGGCTGAGGCCTCCTGCGGGCACCGCTCAGGTGAGAGGCAAAGCCGAGTGACAGCTGGAGCCCGGATGGATAGCTACGGTTACAGACACACAACATGGCCTCTGAGAAGCAGACAAGGAGCCGCCGCGGCCGTGCCACAAGCACTTCTCCAGCCTTTCTACCCCTGTCACCCAGGCCAGCCCGGAAGCATGTCGCACTGCTACTGCCCCCGGCCTCAAGGAGCATCCTGCTTGCGGGTGCACCGGAGAGGACGGGATCTGCCGGGACCCGCATGGAGCTCCCGAGCCCGGCAGCTGCCAGAGGACACGGTGACGGCATGTCGAGGTCCGGAGCAGCCCCTCTCCTTGAGGGGCCCAGGCGAGGACACCCATCGCCCCCTCCACAGGAAGAGCCGCACTGCGAGAGACAGCAACGCCCGGGGGGAACGGGTATCCCGCCGCGGGGCACTGCCCGGCTGCTGAGGGGGAAAGACACCACACAGCCCCCCTCCGCAGGAATCCGCCATGTTAGGGCGGCCGCCGAGCCCCCTTTCCCCGCAGAGCCGGAGGCCCCGCCGCCTTCCCGTGCCCTGCGGGCTGGGGGAGAAGAACGAGCAGCGGTCCCAGCACAACCCTCGCCCCGGTTCCCGGCCTCCTGCTCCCGCCTCGCCGCCTCTCTCACGCAGGGCTGTCCGCCATGTTAGCGTGGCGGCCGCTGACCCCCTCCACCCACCGCCACAGACACACTCCGGGGCACCATGGACCCCGGCTCCCGTGTGCTTTTCCCCCGGGCGGCGGCCCCGCATCGCCCAGCGCCTCGCTGCGCGCCGGAGAAAGGGGGGAGCCTCGGCTCTGACTCATGCTGCCGCTCTCCATCTGCCGCCGCCGGTGGCAGCCGGTCTCGCCCCACGCCGCCGGGTGGAGAAAGGGCAGCAGGAGGAACCGGCCTCATCCCCATCCCCCTCCCCGCCCGGTACCGCCACAGCGGCCGGTGGCAGTGCTGCCCGCCGGCTGCCCCTCCCGAGTGCTGCGGCCACCGCTCCAATTCCCCGCCTTGCGCTTGGGGAACCATGGCCTGTCCCTCCCCAAGCCCCGGGGAGCGAAGAGCTCCTCCACTGCCTCCCGCCGCCGGTGTCAAAGGACGCCCCGGCCCGCTCCAGAGCTCAGGGTGGGCGTCACCGCCCCTTCCTTCCCTCCCGCCGTCTCCCCCTGCGGAGCTAGCCCCAGCCCGGCTGGGACCCCGGCAGCAGTACTCACGTGAGATAACGGCCTGAAAGATTTGGTAAATCGTCTTCTCTTTTTAGGCGGAATTTTTAAAGAGGGATGTGGGAACCTACAGCAGAAATACAGGCGGCGGCAGCGGCGCCTTCCAGGGCCATAGGCTGCGGGGGCGACCGACTGGGGAAGCGCAGCGCAGCGCTCGGACGAGAGAGCACAGACACAGAGAAACAGAGCCGGAGCGGGCCGGAGGCGCGGGGCTACTGCAGCTGGGCACAGACGCGAGAGCGCGGCTACTGGGCTGCGACGCGAGCGGCGGGGCGAGAAGAAGGGGGCAACCGCGGCAACGCTCTTATAGGGCGAGCGGGTGGGGAGGGACCCGGAGCCACGCGTCACCGCACCGCGGGCGGGAGGCGCCGCCGCCGAAACCAGCCCTCCGGCAGCGGCGGCGGCGACGGCGAACTGGGCATGCGTCGAGTGCCGCCGTCGCTGAGCAGTGGGGGATTGCCGTCGGTACCGCCGGCCCAGGTGGAGCCACCACAGCGGTCCCAGTTCTGCGGCCGGGGTTGGGCTCGGGGGATACCACCCGACCTGGCCCTGCCTGACCTGGCCGGCGGGGCTGGTGTCCTAGGCGGATCGCCGTCTCTGGCGGGAGAGGCCGGGGTCTGTCGGTAGTGCTTGCAGGGGACAGACAGGGCTCGACTCCAGGTATCCGTCGGGACCCAGGGCAGCCGGTTACTGGCTCGTGACTTCATGTGCCAACTTGAACCTGTGTTTCAGGGATGGCTTCCACAAACCCAACACTCATCGTCCTGTGTTACTACATGGCTGAGCAGGTGGGAAGGGAAGCCAAGTCTTAGTGGCCAGCCAGAAGTCTGGTTCCCCAAGTTAACAGCATCCTAGTAATTTGCACTGATTCACTGAGCATTGCTAATCTGTTAATAATGCTCAGTGGAAGCTCTAATCACACTGCATACCTGGCAGCCTCAGTGAATTTCGTGTGTCTTAGAGTACTTACATAAGCACTTGAACTGAAGGATTTAGCTGACCCACATATTTCATGGAGTTTTGCTGAAGCACTGGGACACCTTCAGCATTTCCTGAAGCCTTCAGTACTTTCATAACACCTTTGTGAGGAAGTGCCACCTGCAAGTAGAAGAGAGCCACTCAGACATCAGATGCCTCAGTCAGAGGTAACAGAACTGTCACATGGTGGGGCTGAGGATGCACTCTGACCTGCCAGCCCCACTCTGCCATGTCAGTCTTATCAAACCACACAGGACTGTTCTTTAAGAACTTGTTCCAGGAGTCACAGTTCTTTCCGGACAATAAAATACATAGTAATGTAGTTCACGAGACCAGCAAATGATATACTTGTTCAGGAAAGTAATTGTTCATCTCAGGACATGTTAATTTTATTTTTAGAAAGGTGTGTTCATACAGTTTGTGTAATTTTTTTTTTCAAAGCAAAGCTGGTTTTGTTTAATTTTCTAGCAGACAGAATTCGGAATAACAGACAATAGATACACACCTGTCATCTCCAGAAAAAAAGTGAGACTGAGGTTTCACAGCATGTAGGGATGGAGTTTGTTTACTCTTTTCATCTGTTGTCACCTTCCCTTTTGCCAGTAATTTTAGATGAGGAGGAAGTGAACTGATAAATATATGCAGTCTCATTACAGTCTTTCCTGATAACAGCACTAGTAGGTTATGGATGAAGTCAGTAAAAGCTGGCTCATTGATTAGAAAGTCAGAAGACTTCTCACATACACTTGCAGCAAACCTTGCACTGAGGACTAAAAATGGAGTGGTTTACATCGCTCTTTTCTCAGGTATGATCTGTATTGCACCCTTCATTTGGGTTCCTATTCCAGAATATAAGAGCAGGAGGAAGAATCAAGAGTATACTAAAAAAAAAAAAACAAAATCCCCAAACAAAAGAAACCACCAACAAACAAACACCCACCACCAAACAAACTAAACCAAACCAAAAAAACTCCAACCCAAACCACAAAATCTATGGAGTCTTAGGAAGAGGGATTTGGACAATGCACAGTAAATGTGAATCATTAACAGGCAATGAAAGGAGGAAGGGTTGTCCTTGGAGGACAAGGGTTAGAGGGGAGGGCACATGTTACAGTGATACATACAGAGGCACAATCCAGAAAGCTGTATTCTTTAGGAAGGTAGATTTTTTAAACCACATTTTTGGAAGGGATTTAAACTAGGAAAAGGATTTGACTAGTTTGGAGGCATTTAGGTGCAGCCAGAAAGTGATCTATCAGGGAAAAGACAAAGAATAGGTCAGTACTGGTTCTATGATGAACTGTTTTTTATCTGTGTTCTTAGACATCTCCTCATGGTAATATCCAAAGATATCCCAGCAGTGATATAACTGACACAATAGTTACTGCCTCCTCATCTACATTCATCTTCCCAAAAGAGTTTTTATTTTGGTAAGTAGGGGATGTTTTTAATATTCTTACCAGAAGTAAGAAAACAGGTGGACTATTTAAGAGGGGAGGACAGTCACGTAGGACAGGAAAAAGAACTTCAGTTTGATATGCAATTAATTGGGGGCACTGTCAGCTATTTTAAAATGTATGGTGGGAGGGAGGATTTCCTGCTCGTATGGAGGAAGCAACACTTGACAACAGAAACATAAACTTCATCCTCTTAAATCTAATGGAAAAAAAACCCCCAAAAGAGTGGCACACTGTTTGGGAGAGTACAAGATTGAACCATGTAATGACTGTACACAAAATGAACACAAATTGATGGGCGAATGCTTTATACAGTATTTTCACTACCACTGGTGATACTAATGCAGAACTAGAAAACTGGTGCCACAGCTCAATATATGTATATTCTTAGTACAGTGCTACGCAAGACAACAGTCCTGTTTTGTCTGGAAGGGCAAAATGTGAAAAAGCTAACATAAAATTTCTTCTGCCTCTTTAACATTTCTCTACCCACAGTTTTAGTACTTGGATTCCTAACCTTGTACAGCTCCATACCTGCATTTCATAGATTACTAGAGTAACAATCTGCATTGATAAAAAATGATAAGATAAAGATAAAAAGGCAGCAGACCACAAAATACGTGTCCAGCCCTGAGTTCCCCTTACTTCCAACTGTGAGGCACTTCTACCACATTTCCTTTTTTTTTGCCTCCACACTTCCTTTTCAGCACTGTTCACAGTTGGATGTAGACAAAATCAGGTGTTATCCCTATGACGCAGATAAACCAGAGCAGGAAAGACACTCTTCCCCACCTCATCTTTTAGAGTGCAAAAAATACTCACTGGTGAGCCAGCCCCGGGGTCAGGAGTTTCAGATTGGTTTGGACAGATGTCTGAAGCTGCATAGCCCAGTGACCTTTCCTGCTAATTCCAAGTATTTCCTTCTTTTTATGTCTTCCTACAGGCTACCTCTTCTCTCCTCTGGTTCTTCCATTTCCTCCCCCTCTCTGATGCACCCTCTATCACCAGGCATCAGCAGCTGGGTTGGATTCCACTCCTGCAGTGAGAGAATGAGATTATTTCCTTCTCCATCTCCTCTTCCTCTTCCCCCACTGCTGCCAACTCCTGCAGCAGTATTTTTTCTTAATGCCTCAGGTGCAGGAATTAGGTGATTACACAGGAATTTCATCTTCCATTGAGATTAAAATGTCCCTAGCTACTGAAAAGCCAGCACAACAAGACAAATACAAATAGCAGTCCACCTCTGGATGTAGGGAAAAGGTTGTTTCCATTTCTGAATGCTTAAACTTGACAATATGCTCCCTGTTCTGGCTCTTCTTACACACAGTGGCAGTTGGTGCCAGTGTAGTTAATGCTGTGTGGCCATCCAGCCAGAGCACTCAGCTGTTGCAGTGCAAGGAAAGAATCAGTCCAAATTATATTTCTGTCTGAGCTGCTTGGGGTAGGAATGCCTGTGCACAGGGAGGCACAAGGAAAGGAAAATGAAGGCTGTGACAGCTCTGGACTCCTCGTGCCGCAGTGCTGTAGAAGTACTAGAGTTCCAATAGTCCCTCTTGTTAGCAAAACAATCTGTATAAATAGGACTTCATGGAAGTAATCAGTTGATACTCTGATCTTGAGACCCTTTTCATTGCTGCAGACTGGAGTTGCTCCTGTCCAGTTGACACAAATACTGATAACCAGCTGGAGGAATGATTCATGATTATTAAAAGCCCAGAGGTGGTGGGAGGAGAATCATCTCTGCCTTAACTCATACGGAGCAGTTGCCTCTCACCTATATTTACTGAGCAGTTTGCTGAATCAAAACAACTGAGGCAGAAATAAGGTCCCAGCTTTCCAGTACGGATTAGTTTGGCTTCAGAAGAGTGAATTTAAGTGTAATTTCTATGGAGAACAGTTACAGAATAGATCTCATACTTGTGCTAAGTTGTTTACACAAAGCTAATGGAATCAGTAGCTCAAAACACTAAAGATATCACAAGTAAGTAAAATTAAATTGGGGTTGTTTTACAAAATCAAGGCTGGAAGGAAAAAGCAGGAAAAAAATCAGTCTTGGTTTAGGAGTAGCCAGCAAAATACCATAAGCTCCTTTAAATCCAATGCTAGAATGTTTTCACCTCCAAAAAATCTAGACTGGGTCGGCAGAGACTAAAACAGAATGTCTGTCAACTAAATATTTGAGCTACTAACTCAGGACTACTGAGGAGAATATTCAAATATGAGCATTACTTGAGAGTCTAGCCACCTGCATGCCTACTCCACATTAACTGGTAAAGAAAACTGGAAAGTTTTAAGTATCTGCAACATGATATGGACTTTACTGTTAGGAAATGTGCCCAAGTTCAGCCCAGGTTAGAAATTAATTGGGCTCATTATATGATAGGTGTTGAGTTGTGTGTTAATCACACCCATTCTACTTCCTGCTACCCGTGTCTCATGGCTCCTCACTAAAACCTGAAGGATCAGCGGGAGGCTGAGGGTTGGGCTTCTGTGGAACGTATTTATTTTGTTCTCATTACTCATTAAAAAATATCTCTGGATCAAAGAAGAGGCATGGGGTTTGCCTCTGCGGATAAACAGGAGGTGTTGGTTCCCAGAAGATTGAACTAGTCAGCAGCGATAAGACTATCAACTCTTAAAACACAACAGTCCAAACACTGAAGCGGGATAAAGTGGTCTGTGTACCATGCAAGGAGGTTAAAAATAAGCATATTGTGGGCTTTTACTGATGGTTACCAAACAGGGAAATTCTATTTTTTATTAACTTTTCCAAATGAATACACTCTTGGTTGGTTTTTTTTGTTGCGTTTGCAAGGAGTTTTATTCCCAGATGTTTATTCTCAGCCTTGTAGTTCTTGCATAAGTAGCCCTCTCTAAATATGGTCCCAGCTCTGTGCAATAATTAAGAGTGTTTTGAGGCTGCTTAGCTTGCTAGCTGTTCTTGTCAGTCACTTTCCAGCTTTGGACATCTGGACAGCTCCAGAACAGGCACAAGTTATTCTGGTGATTTCTAGACACAGTGTGCCCCAGCAGCCCCTATCTTTGCTGAGATTCCCTGGCTGGTGGGGCATTTCGTTAAGAGTAAAGACTGTCAGACTTCAAGAGGAAGATTTCCAGCTAAACCCTGGAGAAGCACTTCCCACTTGTCAATGTCTTTCATCACCTTCCCAGCTCTGAGAGGTGGCAGTGATCTCCCCTTGTCATCCAAGAGCAGTGAGAAAGAAAGTGCTCTCTTGAGATTGCACTCCAGCACTGTCTGTGATGCCTCCAAACGTGCACCTGCATTTTTCTGTGTCACTGATGATGTTGTCTCACACATTTTGGGGATGAGAGAACCACAAGTCAAGGCAGAGGCCTTTCCCACCAGGGTGAAAAGGGCAGGACTCTTAGACAAAACCCTAGCAAACTCTTTCACTATCTTCAAAGCAAATGACAATACATTTGAAATAAAATATTTGACCCATTTAAGATAAATTCTGTTTACTTTGCTTGCATTAATAGTGTTGCCACTGTTAGCAGGGGGAAGATGAACAAAATATTCACTACTCATTTTCCCTGCATCTTCATTTTCTCTAACATGTGCGTTTTTCACTTAGAATTTGACAGACTCTTTCAAGAATAATATTTTTTTTCCCCATAAACTCCATATATGATAGGCTGGCAGTAGTGACCAGCATGGAATAATTACCACTGTAACACAGTTAAGGGCATACAGAAGGATCTGCAGGATCCATGTCACGTACCTACAGTAACGAACAGGCTTGGGACCTCTGCATTTGGTCATCAGACCGCTACAGTAGTGATGCTGTTGGTACTTGGGGCCTTCAAATGGGTTGTCTGTCAACATGCTTTTGAGACCCTACTTGTATGCAACCAAGTTTGAGCTTCACCTCTAGAAAACTGTGTTTATGTACCTGCTGCTCTTTCTCTCTAGGGGCTGGCCCTTAACTCTAAGATTTGTGGCTTGGAATTTCTTTTTCTGTGGTCCTCAAAAACAGGGAAGGAAATCCCTTTTTAATTTTGCTGGCATTAAGATCCCTGATCTCATTTAGGACTTCAGCCATCCCTGGCTGAAGAATGTGGGGATATGTCCTGAATCAGACCTAACATTGTTGGGAAATGAAACAGTAGCTACAGATATCATCTGCTCAGGACACTGTGTCAGTGCTATCCCTGGGCTTTGCTATTGCCAGCCAGATTTGCAGGAGCAATAGGAAGGTCAGCAAAGCAAAGCAGCCAGGGCTGGGTTATTTTTATTAGACTCCATTTCCTCTCAGTGGGTCAAAATAGTCAGTACCTTCCAGATCTATTCAGCTCGAAATGCAAGTGAAAGCCGAACATGAAGTGAGTACCAGGCAAGGCTGGGGCAGTGACTTCTGGTTAGTACTTGATCCTCTTTGTCATGCCTGGTTTCAGCAGCAAGAGCTTTCGGCCCAGTATGCATGCTCAAACCAGACGACTTAAGGGCTGAGCCAGGATATCTCAGCTAGTTTTAACGTCTCTGAAACCCCAAGGCAAGATCCCAGGGAAGACATTGTGTGGGGCTGCAGATGGAGCAGGAGGACTGAGCTGCTGAGAGCCATTGAACTGAGTTGAGCTCAGCCTTCAGCCCCAGGCAGTCCTCGGGGGTCCCAGCAATGGTGTCAGGCCAGGGTCATGCCCCTGCAGAGAGCTTGCAGGCCAGGGGACTGAAAACCAGCAAACCACCCAGCCCCAGCAAGCTCAACCATTGCAATGAGGAGAGATGGTCTGGTTTGAGAAGCAGTTACTGGTACCAGTAAACATACTGCAGTAGCTGCTCCCTGCCCACTTACTCTGCATCTGCTCATGAAAAACACCGCTGAAAGTAGTCATGGGCCATTAACTTTGCCTGGCATTCCAAGACTGGGATTGGGATTGATTTTTTTTTTTTGGTGTCGAAGATGGTTTTCCAAAGGGACAGATAATTGCAGTTCATTAAAAACAAGAACCAAACAAACAAATCCACCACAAAAAAAACACCCCCACCAAACAACAAGACAATAACAAACCAACCAAATAAAACTTTCTTGTTTTAATTTTCTTGTATAACTTTCTTGCATAATTTAGAATTTGTTTCCCCTTCTCCACTGCCTGGAAGTGTGGGGCAGGGACCCAGCACAATATCTGGGAAGCTGCTGCTCTCCCCTGGCTGAGATGGATGCCCACATCAGCTCAGGTACCACTGGAGCTGGAGGGAGAGGTAGCTGCACTTGAAAACAATGCCTAAAGCAGTGTGTGCTTAAGGTTACCACCTCCCACGTGGTCCTTTACTCAAGACATCCTGAATTCTTTTTAGTTATGGAACGGGGCTTTGGGCTGAGGTTTACGCTCAGAAACCCAAGAAATATTTACCATTTTGTGTAATAGAAGCAGAGTTGAAATGAATAATTCTAATAATATCTAGGGACTGTGTTCCTGAGATTTTGCTACATGTAAACATAATCATAAGCATAATCAATGTCAATGACTTCCCTTTAATTCTCACACACGGTCTGCATTTAAATGCCACACCAGATTTGACATGGCCAATGATAAATGGAATGCAATTAGTTCCACTATTTGCTTTGAGGACATACTGAATTATTTCTTACAACAGACCATTTATTATCCAACACTAATGGTTATAATAATACTCTTGCATTTAATATGTGTAATATATCTTAAACTGTGCCAAACTGATAAGTTTCAAAAAGAGATATTGAAGTCTAGAAAAAATCATTCCATGAATGACTTTCATCTAATGAATCCTTCACAATTCCCAAGTCATCATTTTCACAAAGAAATGTTAAGCTGTAAGAATTTTGTATGTATTTCTCATCATTACATAACTAAATAAATCTTAATTATGCTGCCACTTAGTGATTTACAGTCACTTAATGAATATATAACCTTAAGAAAAATGTCAAAATTTAAATGTTCTTATGGCATTTTTAACATAATCCCTCTTCTAATGGTTAACAGGACAATGATAACTCCCCCCCCCCCCAATTTATCATGAGTTTATCATGGTAATTGCAAAT